CCCGCTTCTAGACTTAAGTGTCCCCGGAGAAAAGTGAGGCCCGGGCAGCCCTGAGGTTACGAGCAGCCTCTGGTGTGGTCCAGAGAGATAAGCAAGGCCTGGGGGACAATGACCTCTGCTTAGTCCCCCGATTGATCACAACGGTTTCTGGTTCCCCAAAGGATGCACTTTCAAGACAAAAGAGAAAGCTCTGTGGCTAGACAGCTGGATGCCTGGCTGTTCTGGATTCTTTTCTTTTTTTTTTAATATGTTTTTATTAATTTTTTGAGCGAGAGACGGACGGGAATGGGATAGAGAGAGAGAAACATTGAGGAGAGAGAAACGTCATCCATTGGCTGCCTCCTGCACGCCCCCTACTGGGGATGGAGCCTGCAACCCGGGCATGTGCCCTTGACCGGAATCCAACCGTGACCTCCTGGTTCATAGGTCGACGCTCAACCGCTGAGCCACGCCGGCCGGGCCCAAATTTTAATCTTACATGAAAAATGTAACATGCCAGACCTTTCCAACGTGTCCTTTATGCCTTGGGGTAGGAATATCTCCCTAGCTCTCCACAAAGGTGCTTCTGGTGGTTGACACACTTAGGTGATATATTTGCAAATATTATGCAACATGCAGTTCTTAGAAATCTCTCTGCACTTTTTTTGTTTGTTTGTTTGTTTCCTACCCAAAGCCCTTTTGTCTTCATACTTGGAGTTGAAAGTTTCAAGGACTTTTCCACTCTGACTCCTAAGTCCCTTTTCCTGTTTATCTTAAGTGGGATTTAGATAACGTGTGGCTGGGGAGACACAAATACTCAGAAAAGAAAGGGGGACGGAAAAGGAAGAGAAAGAAGCTGGGAAGGAGTTGATCTGCCCGGAGCCAAACACACCAGCAAGCATAAGAAAGCAAGGAGGCTCACGGGCTCATAGATCTCTCTCTGGGGTTCCTACGATCGATGCAACCCAGGCAGGCTTCCCTCGCACAAAAGCTGCAGTCAGGGGGGACCTCAACCCTTGCATTTTATTTTCTTCTTAAATATATTTTTATTGATTTCAAAGAGAAAGGGAAAGGGAGAGAGAGATAGAAACGTCAATGATGAGAGAGAATCATGGATCAGCTACCTCCTGCACGCCCCACACTGGGGATCGAGCCCACAACCCAGGCAGGTGCCCTGACCGGGAATCGAACCGCAATCCTGTCTGTACTCCTACTATCCGCTATCTATAAACAATGACTATTTTTTTATCTGCCTAACATCGCAGTTTACAAAAGTTGTTGAGTTTCATTACCTTGCTGAATCCTCACTTTTTTTTTTTATTTTTGAGCGCTCACACCTTTGTGATGTACGCACCTCCTACTAGTTTCATTTTACAGGTGAGCAAACTAAAGTCAAGACAGCAGTGGCCTCTCTGGGAACACTTCCTGGTCGAACTGGGAGTTGAACACACCCACTTTGGGTCCTAACACGGGGCCTTTCCTGTCCCTCCGGTATTCACCAGTATCCAGACCCTGTATGAAGTACAGAATCCCAAGTGATTTAAGTAAAATTAAGAAGATTTGCCCGGCCCGTGTGGCTCAGGGGGTGAGCGTCGACCTATGAACCCGGAGGTCATGATTCCATTCCTGGTCAGGCCACAGGCCCGGGTGGCGGGTTCGATCCCCAGTGTGGGGCGTGCAGGAGGCGGCCGATCCATGATTCTCTCTCCTCAGTGATGTTTCTATCTCTCTCTCTCCTCTCCATTCCTCTCTGAAATCAATAGAAATATATATATTTAAAAAAACAACAACAACAATGTATTCTAGTTACGTCCTGAGCAAAAGGACGTAACTCACTTGAGAATAACAAGCTGAGACTCCCACCTGCGGCCTCCTGCCTTGTGGGGACAACAGGGAAAGAAAAGACAAAGAAAAGAAAAAGGCTAGAATGTTCTCAGTGGCTCTGAATCGGGCGCCTTGTTCGGTAACTTCAGAAAACCTGGAAGAGGAAACCAAGGCTCTAAAAGCCACTTGGCAGTGACCTCAGGCTGTGTCACCGGACTACCCTCTGCGTAAGCCGCCTGCTCTCTGTGATGACCCAGCGATGAACACAGAGGCTGCGGAGCCGGGACGGAGGGGAGCGGGGGCTGGGGTAGGCGGGGGTGCGGGGTTCCCACCGGCCCGGCCTGAACTTTCACACACGCCCCGCTCTGTGCGAGACTGAGGGCCATTCACAGGGCTGACCCAGTTCCGGCGGCCGGTTCAGGGGGGTGTAAGGGAATACCATGTCCGGGACTGAGAGCCTGTCTGTGCCGGCTCCACGGCCAAGTCTGCGCCGGCCCCGCTCGCTCGGCGATGGCCAGGGAGACCTGTGAGAATCCCGCGGGCACCTGAGGACAAAAGCGGGGTCTTGGGGGTGGAAGCCTGGGGCGCTGGTCGGAGCTAGTGATGGGGACGGCAGCCTGGGCACAGACATGGCAGGATTCTGTCTTAGTTTAGTTTATTGAGCCAATACTTTTATATGTATTTTTAAAAATATATGTCGTTATTGATTTCAGAGAGGAAGGGAGAGGGGGGAGAAACATCAATGATGAGAGGGAATCATGGATCAGCTGCCTCCTGCACGCCCCCCACTGGGGATCGAGCCCGCAACCCAGGCATGTGCCGTTGGCCGGAATCGAACCTGGGACCCTCCAGTCCACAGGCTGACGCTCCATCCACTGACCCAAGCCGGCCAGGGCTATATATATTTTTTATTATTGATTTCATAGAGGAAGGGAGCGGGAGAGATAGAAACATCAATGATAAATCATTGATTAGCTGCCTCCAGCACGCCGCCCACTGAGGATGGAGCCCACAGCCCGGGCATGTGCCCTGACGGGGAATCGAACCATGACCTCCTGGTTCATAGGTCATGGCTCAACCACGGAGCCACGCCCGGGAAAGTCGCAGGGAGGGTAAAGGAGTGGGCGGCGTATTGAAAGATTTAAATTCCGGCTCTTTCCAATTCTGGGCACCGTGACAATCACAATATTTGAGTCAGGGTGGAGTCGATGGTATGACCTATTTTAGCTTACGGAACAGTTTAGGGTGAAAAAGCATGGTGTGTCCACAGGCCAGCTCTATTCCTGGGACCACCTTGCCACAAAGCTAGCATCGTGCCAGTGGAGAAGCAAGAAATACATCTTGGTGAGACCTAGTCGGTGTGACATCTGCAGATGCTGCCATCAGCTGGTCTTGACCGTGTGTGGTTGCGAACATACAGTCAGGCCCTAGCCGGTTTGTGGACCAAAGGGTCCCGGGTTCGATTCCGGTCAAGGGCCCATACCAGGCTCCTCCCCAGCCCGGGCCCTGGACAGGGCACGTGCAGGAGGCAACTAATCTTATGTGTCTCTCTCACATTGGTGTTTCTCTCTGTCTCTCTCTCTCTCCCTTCCACTCTCTCTAAAAATCAATGGAAAAATATCCTCGGGGGAGGATTAACATAATAATAATAATAATAATAATAATAATAATAAAATAAATTTTTAAAACTGAATATAAAATGCCCAGGGCAGCGCATGGCGCAGGGTCAAGACCCAGTAAATGCGGATGCGAGAATGGCGGGTCCTGCGGGAGCCCCCCTTTTCCGGGGAAACGTTCATGTGGATCTCCGCCAGGGATATTAGTCAAAACCGTGGAGTCATCTAGACACACGGAGTGGCCAATGTGATCTGAGCCTGGGAGAGGAGAATTGTCAGGCGAATTCAAAGGACTATAATTCCATTAATTCATTCAAAATTCTGTTGGAGGAGGGAGGGAGGGAGGGGGGTTCCTGGGAGAGACGCCAGATGTCACGGACAGGCCTGGTCCACAGAGGAACTTCTCCGTAGCCAGCAGCCTCCCCAGGCTTCCCCAAACAAAGCCTGTGTTGTAGGCTGCCCGGGACCCCGTGCCAGGCGCGCCTGGAGCCGTGGGGACTGGTGCGCAGGGAGGGGGCGGGCCGGCCCCGGGGGAGGCCCGGATCCCCTGGACACAGGGCTTATCCGTCCTGATGAAATCTTCCCTTCTGATAGGACTTCCTCAAGCAGAACAAAAGGGAGATGCCGGGCGTCTTTGCCAAAGCAACCCGGGAAAGGAAAGCAGAGTTAATCATTATTCTCTCCCGGCCCTCGACCGGGGATGGGAACAGACCAGGAGTCATCTCCCGCCCCAGAGACGCCCTTTTCCTGCAGACAGGCGGCCTGAGGCTCTGCGGGGTCCCCCCGAGGCAGGGGGTGCAGCCGGAGCCCACAGTGAGCTGCTCTCTGCACATCAGAGAGGCGCCTGATCGCACTGTGACTCACCCGCTTATCCAAACAGCGGCCCTGCCTGCAGAGCCCCTCTCTGCGGGGAGGAAGTGCCGGGGTCAGAGAAGTCATTGCAAATACGGGCCGGCTCGTCCAGGGAGAGCCAGAGGCTCCCAGAGGCTCCCGGGGCTGGGCAGGGGGTGGCCGGTGTGGGGCGCCAGCACGAGTCGTCCATCCACGCAAGAGGCGCTGGTTCCAAGCGCACAGCCCCCGACGTCGGCATGAAAACAAGCTTAGCTTTGCCCGGCCGGCTAGTGTGGCTCAGTGGTTGAGCGTCGACCTGTGGACCGAAGGGTCCTAGATTCAATTCCTGGTCAAGGGCACCTGCCCGGGTTGTGGGCTCGATCCCCAGTAGGGGGCGTGCAGGAGGCAGCTGATTCATGATTCTCTCTCATCATCGATGTTTCTATCTCTCTCTCCCTCTCCCTTCCTCTCTGGCTTGTGGCTGCCGTCTGGGCAGCAGCTCTAGTCTCCAGCTTCAGGGTGATGGAGGCAGCCCTGGCTCATGGGGAACGTGGCGAGTGCAGCCATGGGGTCCCAGGTCCCAAAGCAGGCAGCTCCCAGGAGCTGGGCCACGGCAGCCCCTCCTCCCCGCCCTGGCTCACCTCCTCCACCCAAACCAGCTCTTAGGTGGGGAGCCGGGCGGGGAGGGCTGAAAGCAATGGGCTGAGGACTTAGAGCCCTGCCAGCAGCTGCCACGGGCCATCTGGCTGCCCCCGCTGAAGAGCGCAGGCTGACCCACGCCCGGCCTCACCCCGTCCTCGGAGCGGCCGCCTAGAAGCGCGCCCCGTCCCACGCTGCATCTGGCTCAGGCTCGGTGACAGCTGAATTCAATGGCTGCACCCACCGTGCGGTTTCTGGGGAACCGAAGCCTTCAATCAATTCGGGGCAGTGCAGACACACGCAACCAGCGTGAGCTCATCTGATTAGGAGTCATCAGCCATATGGCGCCTTGCGGCACGTCCACAGGCCCCCTTGACGATCGTGGGGTTCAGGGGCTCGGTGCCGAGCCAGGCCCTGGTGCCGCTGACCCTTCGAGTCCATCTCGCTCCCGGGAGGAGCTTGCGCATAGGATGACCTGGGGCGGAGTGTAGTTCCAGAAAGTTCCAGCTGGGGCTCCTCTTACCTGACTCCTGGTCTTAAGGTTTTTTTTCATTTTTCCTTGTAAGTACAAAACCTTCTTCTTTTTTTTATTAATGTGTTTATTTTTTTTATTTTTATTTCAGAGAGGAAGGGAGAGGGGGAGAGAGAGAAACATTGATGATGAGAGAGACTCATGGATCGGCTGCCTCCTGCACGCCCCACACTGGGGATCGAGCCCACAACCCGGGCCTGTGCCCCGACCTGGGCATCGAACCGTGACCTCCTGGTTCATAGGTCGATGCTCAGCCACTGAGCCACGCCGGCCGGGCCAAAACTTTCTTTCAAATGTGAGCGTGTGGGGCCCCTAAGAGAGACAGATTCTCTTGCAGGGCCAGGAAGGGGGGACAGAGCTGCTTCATCCCCCGCCCCCGTGCCTCCCCCTTCATCCCCCCCAAGCATCGGGGTGTGTTCAGGGCTTGTGTGGAAACAGTGGTACCAGGCCAGCCAGTCACTGCACACGTCGGAAAAGCAAGGCCCCGAGCAGCTGCGGGTGGCGAGGTCCCACGCGATCCGACAGGGCTGAGAACCCCGACTCAGGTTCCCAGACCTCTATCTTAGTGTCAGGTTCTTCCAGAAAGTTCTACAGAAGGTTTTGGCAAACAGACAAGTGAGCTCTTACTTAGAAACAAGTTGTTGCCTGCCGGCATGGCTCAGTGGTTGCATGTTGACCTATGAACTAGGAGGTCAGGGTTCAATTCCCAATCAGGGCACAGGCCTGGGTTGTGGGCTCCATCCCCAGTGTGGGGCGTGCAGGAGGCAGCCGGTCCATGATTCTCTCTCACCATTGATGTTTCTCTCTCTCTCTCCCGCTCCTTTCCTCTCTGAAATCAATAATATACATATATTAATTTTTTTATAATTTTTTAAAGACCACAGAGGCACAAAGTGGGGCCCAGAGGGGTCAGCCAGGACCGAGGGCTGAGCTTCCGGGGGGTGGGGGGGGGTTGAGCTGGTTGACGCGCCTGCCCAGGGGCTCACGACTGTCCCCCAACCCGGAGGCCCGCCCTGATGCCTGTGGGCCCAGCGACCCAGCCAAGACAAACACGGTGCATGAGCTCACGGGGCCGGGAGCGCAGCGCGGATGTGCTATCTGCAATGCGGACTTTGGACGGGGGCCTCACCCGGAAAGAAAGAAGCATGAAATCTGGAAACAAAAGAAATGTGCGCTTGAACCAGGAGGCTTTATCGGAGAGCCGAGCCTCTGGGATCCAAGCCTGCCTCGCGGCAGAGCCAAGATGCAAATGGGCCCGTGGGGGAAAGGAGCAAAGTGGAAGGATTTCCAGAAATGGACAGGAAGGTTAAAGTCTGACGTGCGTTAAAAGAAAAGAAAAAAAAGGTAAAAAATCCCGCCGGGCCGCCATGAACTCCGACAACACGGGGGCCTGGCCCTCAGCTCACAGCCGCCTTCGCTGCTCGAGGCTGCCTCTCTCCAGGATCCAAGTTCATTCCCGAGGGTCCGCTCCCATTTGCTCTCTCTTTGCTTCGCAGGGAGAGTTTGGAACGCGGGGAGGACGTGCTCGAGGAGAAAGGGTTGGAAAAGCAGGGGGACAGCCTGATGAAGAGGCGGCAAAGTGCCCGGCCGGCTCGGTGGTTGAGCATCGACCCAGGAACGAGGAGGTCAGGGTTCGATTCCCGGTCAGGGCACATGCCCGGGGTTGCCAGCTCCATCCCCAGTGGGGAGCGTGCAGGAGGCAGCCGATCCATGATGCTCTCTCATCACTGATGTTTCTCTCTCTCCCTCCCTCTCTCTTCCTCTCTGACATCAATAAAAACATTTAAAAAAAAAAAAAAAGAGTCTCTTGAATCTAAAAAAAAGAGGTTTGAGGCAGGGTCCAAGCCAGCCCTTGGCCGACACCTCCCGGATGTGCGGGAGCTGATGGTGAGCTTCTATCTGGTCCAGACCCGCCCGTCTGCCCACAGAGACCCTCACAAGAAACCCTCTTGCTTCCCAGGCCCAGCCTTGCGTTCTGCCTGCGTCTTGAGTGAGGCCAAGGCATGAAAGAGGAAGAAAAAGCTGCGGGCGGACGGCTCTTCCCAACGGGACTTTCCTCCGATGGCATTTGAACGAGGCCTTGGGCCTGAAAGGCAATGCCCAGCTCGTTCTTTTTTTAAAT